CCCAAAAAAAAAAAAAAACAACTTTATTTTTGAGTCTGATGTACATGGATCCTCCTGTGTCAGCCTGCATTGTGCTGGGAGATTACAGGTCACCACACCGCTCCAGACTTTTTCCTTTCTTTTTTGCCTATCCTGGGGCCTGAACTCAGGGCCTGGGCACTGTCCCTGAACTTTTGCACAAGGCTAGCACTCTACCACTTGAGCCACAGCACCACTTCAGGCTTTTTCTGTTCATATGGTACTGAGGAATCAAACCCAGGGCTTTATGCATGCTAGGCCAAGCACTTCTCACCAAGCCACATTCCTAGTTAGTAGTATACATTAGTTATAGAGTGGCTTTCTTTGTCTTTTTTTTGGGGGGGGTCCGGTTGTGGGGCCTGAACTCTGGGCCTGGGCGCTGTCCCTCAGCTCTTCAGCTCAAGGCTAGTGCTCTACCACTTGAACCACAGCGCCACTTCCGGCTTTTTGCTTATGTGGCGCTGAGGAATTGAACCCAGGGTCTCATGCATGCAAGGCAAGCGCTCTACCACTGGGCTACCTTCCCAGCCCTAGAGTGGCTTTATTGTGACATTTCCACGCCGTCTACAATGTATCCTGTCTGCAGTGTGTCCTTATTATCACTCCCTTATCTCCCTGCCCTCTTAAAAGAATTTCAGCAAGTTTCATTGTTCCGTTTTCATTTGGGCAAATAAAACCACATTCATCCTTATTCACATTCAATTCAAGCTTCCTGTAAGCCATATCTGAGGATGTTTTCCAGTGATTCTCAACTAACTATACGATGAAAATGGAAAAGTTCCTTTAAGACCAAATGTCATACTTTCTCTAAAGAAGAATTAGCTAACCTTGTTTCTGCTGGGTCGACAGCAAGTTAGCTTATAAAAATGCAAAGTCCATTCCACAGTCCACACCAATCTATAAGAAAATGGAGGACTTCGCCAAGAAACTGCAACTCCCAAGAAGCAATGAGAGAAATCGGAAGCCCTGGCTCTTTCCTGGTCTGTACCTCTCCGTCCTAGACAGGAAAAGCGTGCTCACGTTGAAATAATATATTCATAACAAAACTGGAAAGCTGAGGGTACTGGTAAAGCCAATTCGAAATACTTCGCTTTCCTACAGGATTAATTTGATCTCATTTGCCCTCTGATAGCGGCTGAAAACGATTCTTACTCTGATTGGACAGTCCCGCCCTTAGAGGGCGGGAAAAGGGGGGGGGAAGGCCGAGAGTAGCGGAAGTGACGACACTAAGAACGCCAATAAATAGTCGTAGGCGGAACTTGGCTCTCTCTCGGCCTTAGCGCCATCTTCCTTGGTGAGTGGCGTTGTGTTCTGCCTACAATCCATTAACATCTGACCTCTATATTTACCATCTCCGGAGAAAACTAACTATAACCTTTTTCTCTTCCTTGGCAGGAACAACTGCGCCATGAGAGCCAAGGTGAGCGGTTTCTAGCAGGGAGATTGGGAGTTGGCAAGGGGGAGATCCCAACAAGGAAAGACGGCCGTGCTTCTCAGTCGCAGCATTCTATGTTCGGGCGGTGGTCAGCATACTTTGGGGGGGAGAAGGAACGAAAGGTGTCCGTTGGACCCTGGAGGGTGTTCAAACGGGTGTAAGAAACGGACTTGGGGTCTTATATCAACCTATGGTCATTGTTAATGCTACGTCCAATCCTTCATACAAGCTAAGGGCTTGCTCAGTTTATAACCCTGTGGTGTACGTCTGTATTTTGTTAATAAGGATCTTTTTTTTTCTTTTCCCTTTGCCTCATAATCGGGTTGTTAGTGGAGGAAGAAGCGAATGCGCAGGTATGTTGAGACAACTCGCCTGGGAGGATTCCCTTGGACAAAAAAAAAAAAAGGAACTGTGAGAAAAACAGTTTTGCCTCGGCAGAATCAGTGATTGATTAACCCCCTACATGCACTGGGGAGGAAAAACTGGTTTGTAAACAGCATGTCTTCTCGTGTGTACTTTGCAGGCTGAAGCGCAAAAGAAGAAAGATGAGGCAGAGGTCCAAGTAAACCAGCTTGTGCACCCGTCGAGGCCAGAGGAGCAGGAGGAAATAAGGAATGCCGTAGGCCGGGACGCTGAGTTTGTTGGACTGCATGCCGCTGTGATTTTCCAGTGGATCTAGAAACTTCCATCGCCAAGATCGTCTCTGAAAGACACACCTTGCTCATAACCAAGCATCCCCTGATGGTCCTGTGCCCCGGACCTGTGACATTCTGGACTAGTTCTGTTCATAGTTGTGGCCGAGTGTGACGCGTGTACAATAAACCATCTCTTTTGCTGTTGCAGCTGAACTTTGAAATCGTCTTGTCTTTTACGTCCTCATTACGACTGCGGGGGGCGGGTTGTGTGGATCGTTGCTGGTTAAGCGGTGTCAACACTCTATATGGTGTCAAAAAGTTAACCCGGGCAATATCTTGGGTGCTAGGTGTGGGCGGCGTGTGCTGGGGTTTGGAGCCATGTGTGCGCCTGAGGGTATGTTCCAAGGTTCCGGTAAAAGTTCGAGTTTGCACCGTACTATTACTAAGGCGTGCTCGGTGTTTTTCGGTAGCTGGGGCTCCTTAAGGTTGCTGGGTCGTGTTGCCATGGTGACGCGCAAGGGTTGTTGGGAACTTCCTGCGGCTTATCGCGCCGCTTCGCATACCATAGAGTATGGTTCCGGGTCTGGCGGCTAGATCGTCGCCCTTCCGCAGGAAGCGGAAGAGCGGTGGAGTGGGCGGCTCTTTGTCGAAGCTTGAGGACCGGCAGGCGGCAGCAGCAACTACGGCGGCGGCGGCAGGTGAGGGAGGCGGGAGACTTAGGTGGAGGCCGCGCCCGGAGGGGAGGAGTCGGGGCTGGCCCAGCGGCTGGGCTCCGCTGGCCCACACGAGGCCCCCCCAAGAACCTATCTGGCTTTTTTTCCTCGCAACCCAAGACAGGGTCCCTTTTCTGACTGACCCGGCTTCGCGAGCAAACGCCAGCTTCGTGACGTCACGGCCCTTCCCCTCCCTTCATCTTGATGTCACCTAGACGCCCTCCCCCCTGCACCGGCTTCACTTCCTTAGTGTCCTTTTCGCTGGTCTCATGGCCAAGTGCCGGAGCTACTGTCCTCAAGTACAGAAGAAGAAGCTAGAAGACTTGCTTTAGGGAAACTCTCAGGACTTTTCGCAAACTCTAGGTGTTGGGAAGCGTCACAATCACCGACCCCCCAGTCTAATGTGCCATCCCATGTGCTGTCAGTTGCCGCTCTTCCTTCGGCCGTTCTAACTCCCGGCCCTAGCCTGTCCTCTGGACCCCCACATCCTCCTTTATCTCGAGGTAGAGCTTCCTCCACCTACTGTTCATTGAAGATGGGTTTTCCAACTCATCTTCCCAGTCTGAGTCACTTCTATCCCTTATTCCCTTATTATTCTTTTTTTTTTGGCAACTTCTCTCTTTGACAGGAAAAGTTGCCGTTTTGTCCGACTTCGTTCCTATTTATGACAGCTACCTCAGAGTTCTCCCACCCAAGTTTCTGTTTATTTGTTTTTGTTCAGAACCCAGCAGTGATGTGGAGGTGGAGACCCACAGGAGTCCCCGACTTCACCTGAGCTACCTCAGGTACTAATTCTGGGAGAGTTGGGTGGGGAGAAGTATATCTAATTATCTGTTCTGGTGGGATTTGTAGTGTGGGTCAGGCTTGGGTAGATGGCGACTTATTCTTCACCTGATGGTTTCTCTTTTAGTAGAAGTTCACATCTTAACCAGGTGGCTCATTCCTATACAACTAACTACTCAGGAGGCTGAGAACTGAGGATTGAAGTTCAAAGCCAGACTAGGCAGGAAAGTCCTAGAGACTCTTATCTTGGATTACCTACCCAAAAGAAAAGCTGGAAGTGGAGCTGTGGCTCAAGTGATTGAGTGCTAGCCTCAGGCCCGAGTTCAAGCTCCAGAATCGGCAGCGCACACGCGCGCGCGCGCGCACACACACACACAGTTGGCATTTTCTCTTTTACCACTTTCTTTTATTCTTCCCTACTTACTGTTTGTGTTTATTTTTCTAGTCCTGAGGCTTGAACTGGGCCTGCTTGCTGTCCCTGAGCCTCGTTATGCTCAAGGCTAACAACTCTACCACTTGAGCCAAAGCACCACTTCCAGCCTTTTCTGAATAGTTTATTGGATATAAAAATCTCATGGACTTTTCTGCCTGGGTTGGCTTCAAACCACAATCATCAGATCTCAACTTCCTGAGTAGTTAGAATTACAGGTGTGAGTCACCCACATCTGACTTGGGCTACTTACTTTTGGAGGAGATATGAAGACCTCTTCTTTTGTACAAATTTTTGTGTAACTCTGGCTCTGATCTGGTCTGTTTTCTTAGGGTGATCTTAAGGCAAGAGGGTTGGATGGGGAAGTCAAAGCTAACAGAATCAGGAGAGATCAGTTATACCTAAGGGGAAACAATGTGAAATCCTTTTGAACAGCAGGGGGAGCCTGAACACTATGAAAGGTTTAGGAGGTAAGACACGTGGTAACTAGGACTCCCAGTTTGTTGGGAGTGAGGGCCTAGAGGGGGGTGCTAGAACTGGGGCAGTGGACTGGCATTCCAGAGCTCTCTTGGGAAATAGATTTAAAAAGCTTTTATAGAGGCTATAAATAATTAGTGTCTTTATGGGGTAAGGAATGGCGTGGTTTGATGTCAGTGGATCTTCTCATGGAAGGGTTAGGGGAGTGAGTGGGGACTGGGCAAAAGTCCATTGTTCCTATCAAATTTACTTCTTCACACCTTGACCTTGCCACAAATGGTTTTACCCCGGGGTGGGTAGTGGTGGCTGGAAATGGAAATTCTAGTTTAGAATATCTCCCCTGAAGTGGAGGGGGCCAACTTTCCATGGTTGAGCATGGTAGTAAGAGAAAACAATAGTGACAGAATAGCAACAGCCCTCAAACTGGTAACAGTAGGCTCTTCGTCAAGGATTCCTTAGGTTCTAGAGATCTGGTAGATACAGAACTCTCACCTGTAATCCCATGGAAGAGTAGTTAAGGAAATATTTTACTGGTACCCTACTGTCCGTAAGCAGCCAGTCGTTAGGGCACTATTCCAGTCTCCTGCTAGCCTATTCAGAAACCAACAACAGTTTTAATTTCACTTCCATGAGTTTAATAAGGTCATCTTAGAAGGGAAGATAAAATCCAACACTCCCTGCCCCCTCCTGGGCCTATCACTGTTAGTTAGATGAGGTGGCTTCACCCCAACTCCCTCCCTTAGCCAGGCAAGTGTGAATCACTCTGACCAAGACCAGGTGCATAAGGGCTTGGGCAGGACTTCTGGCCAAGTCCATCAGAATTCCTGTCTCTCAGATTTGCCACCTCCAAAGCCATTGCCTCACTGGACTGCCTGCTCTACACACAGGAAGAGAGGGGGGAATCTCTGGTGGAGTCTGGTTTGACAGATCTGACACATTTCCCCTCTTCCTGCCTCCCCCTTCCCTCCTTTTTTTTTTTAGCAGTCACCAAGAGTGGCAAGAAAAGGAAGAAAGCCCTGACGTAGCAGGGACCAGGATGCCTGACCGGGACAGCTATGCCAACGGCACTGGAAGCAACGGTGGCGGCCCTGGAAGCAGTGGCAGTGAGGAGACGGGTGTGGCAGGAGCAGGCAGTGGAGGAAGCAGCTCGGATGCCATCTGTAGAGACTTCCTGCGGAATGTGTGCAAGCGAGGCAAACGCTGTCGATACCGTCACCCAGACATGAGTGAGGTGTCCAACTTAGGGGTGAGCAAAAATGAATTCATCTTTTGCCATGACTTCCAGAACAAGGAGTGTAGCCGCCCAAACTGCCGTTTTATCCATGGCTCCAAGGAGGATGAGGATGGCTATAAGAAGACAGGAGAGCTTCCCCCTCGGCTGAGGCAAAAAGTAGCAGCTGGCCTGGGCCTTTCACCAGCTGACCTGCCAAATGGAAAGGAGGAGGTCCCTATCTGCCGTGACTTCCTCAAGGGTGATTGTCAGAGAGGAGCCAAGTGCAAGTTCCGTCACCTGCAACGGGATTTTGAGTTTGATGCTCGTGGTGGAGGCGGCACTGGAGGTGGGGGCTCCACAGGCTCAGTTCCCCCAGGAAGACGTCACGATCTTTATGATATCTATGACCTTTCTGACAGGGGCTTTGAGGACCATGAACCAGGCCCCAAGCGCCGGAGAGGTGGATGCTGCCCTCCTGATGGCCCTCATTTTGAGTCATACGAATATAACTTGGCTCCACCCCGAGGGGTGGAATGTAGACTACTAGAAGAAGAGAATGCCATGCTCAGGAAGCGCGTAGAGGAATTAAAGAAGCAGGTCAACAACCTGCTGGCCACCAATGAGGTACTTCTGGAACAAAACGCCCAGTTCCGCAATCAAGCCAAGGTCATGACCCTGAGCTCTACTGCACCAGCCACTGAGCAAACTCTAGCCCCCACTGTGGGCACTGTCGCCACTTTTAACCATGGCATTGCCCAGACTCACACTACGCTCAGCAGCCAGGCTCTACAGCCTCGTCCTGTGTCCCAGCAAGAACTGGTAGCCCCTGCTGGAGCTCCAGCGGCTCCCCCAACTAATGCTGCACCTCCTGCTGCTCCACCACCCCCACCCCCACACTTGAACCCAGAGATCACGCCACTCTCAGCTGCTCTGGCTCAAACAATTGCCCAAGGAATGGCTCCCCCACCTGTCTCCATGGCTCCTGTAGCTGTATCTGTGGCTCCTGTGGCTCCTGTGGCTGTATCGATGGCCCAGCCCTTAGCAGGAATCACAATGAGCCACACCACCACTCCCATGGTGACTTATCCTATTGCTTCCCAGAGCATGCGCATCACAGCCATGCCGCACTGATGGGGCTAAAGGACATTCCCCTGGTGTAGCCTCTCAGGGCTGAGGTCAAGGGGCCCTTGCCCACTCGCCTAGCCCTTCCAACCCTGTCTGAAGGGCTCCCTCAAGAACTAGGACAAGAGAACAAGGAATATGCTTCTGAGGAGCATTTCCTGAGGTGGAATTGGGCAGGTGTGTTCTCATCTGTCTTTTAGGAGTGCACTCTTGTCCTTCAGGCCTCACTCAAGTGGTGGTTTGCGTAGAAGTTCAGACTGAAGCCAGCAGCAAGGAAGGACTGACTGAGGGTCTCTGTCCTCGGTGCTCAGCAGGAAGTTGAGGACATCCCTGGTTATGTCCTTTCTTCTGAACAGCACAGGTTCCAGTACTGGTTTTGGAAGAAAAAGTGCCCCATCCAGAGGGAGATCCAGGAAAGATTGGGAAGTGGGTGGCCAGAGAGAAGATCTCATAGGAGCCTTCAAATGATTTGTGGCCCAGTTGGTTTGAATAATACAGAAATTGCTCCTGGGCCCCTGGGAAGGCCGGGACCATAGTACTCCAGCCCAAAGACTAGGGGAGCATCCATTTACCTAGCTTGGTCTGGATATCTGTAGAGCAGGGCCCACTACTTTCCAAAGAAATAAAATTAACTATTATTTTTAACAAATGGAGGCAGTGAAAACTTTCTTAGATATTCTTTGTGGAAAATGGGAGCATAAAATAGATCTAATGCCAAAATGGGGTAAAAACCCTACCCTCACATAGCCTGGGTAAGTTGGATGGATGCCATCATAGATGGCTAGGGACCAAATGGAGCCTTGGGGAAGGCACTCTGGGGGGTAAAAGCTTTGGAGCCACCTAGTCTAGTTTAAAAATAGTCCCATCTGTTTCTGGTCTCTGTCTGCATGTGCTGTTCCCAGGTTGTCTTAGTAACAAGGGCTTCTAGGGTCATTCAGGGGGGCAGGTACTAAGGAGGGTGTATGTGCTCAGAAATGGGGTTGAGATGTTATGGAGTTAGCAGATAATTCCCTTAACTCAAACAGCAGGGCAGATGGCATGGCCTCTCTTGAGTTGTTGATAGCAGTTATGTCCCTCCAGCTCCAAGCCTTCTCTAGTGGCAGTGTCTTAAGCCTTCAAAGGGTTGGGAGGGGCTAGGAAAAGGGAGTTCTTCTGAGGACACAAGCTTCAGGGTTCATTTCCTTTCTTTGGTCTCTATACTTAAGACCAGAGGTTTTATATCCACTTAAGGCCAGGGACCCCAGTGACCAAAACTTCAGTTCCTCCGCAGCTCATGGCTAATGTAGGGGAAACAACAGGTGTCTGGTGCAATGGCACGGTGGTTTGGAGGGCATGCACAGTGATGCTGTGTGTACTTCCCTCACTGCATCTTCAGCTCCCTCTTTCTGGTAAGGTTGGCAAATCAGGTTTGGAGATGGTGGGCTAGTTACTGGGGTAAAAAAAAATGCCTGGCACAGTAGACTGTTCCTGTAGTCCCAGCTTCTCAAAAGGCTGGGTCTGGGCAAGAGGACCACTTGAGCCTTGAGAGACTGGTTGGGCACCAGTCTGGGTAACACTGAGACCCCTATCTCTGAGGGAGTGCTAAAGAAAAAAGTAGGCAGAATTGCTTATGGATTTTTAAAAACAACACATTGGTAAGCTTAATGTTCAGTTTCTGGTGCAATTTTGGATTATTAAAAGATGGCTTAGGAGCATATAGAAATGTGAATATAGATACCAACATGAATTCTCAGTTAAAATCTTAATTTTATTTTCTTGTTTCCATTTCCAGAGGTGAATTTGGGCAAGTGTAGACATAGTCTGCCTTGTATTAGTATATATCAGCTATGATTACCAGTAATACATTTGCAATTGGCCAATTTGGGCTTTTGTGCCATACTGGAGCTTGAATTCTGGGTCTCGAGTATATCCTTGGCTTCTTTTTATTTATTTATTTTTGTCAGTAATGGGGCTTGAACTCTTAGCCTGGGCACTGTTCCTGAGCTCTTCAGCTCAAAGCTAGCTTCTCTACCACTTGAGCCACAGTGCCACTTCTGGTTTTCCAGTGGTTAATTGGAGATAAGAGTCTCGTGGACTTTTCCTGCCCAGGCTGGCTTTGAACCACAATCCTCAGATCTTAGCCTTCTGAGTAGCAAGGATTATAGGTGTGAGCCACCAGGACCCTTTTTTTTTTTTTTTAATCACAACTGGCAATATCACTTGAGCCATCCCTCCAGTTGTAGCTCTTTTTGTTGGTGTAGGGCTCTGCCACTTTGAGCTGCAGCTCTATTTCCAGTTTTTTGAGTAGCTAATTGGATATAAGAATCTCACTGGAACTTTTCTGCCCGGGCTGGCTTCTAACCCACATCCTCAGATCTCAGACTCCTGAGTAGCTAGGAATATAGGTATGAGCCACTAGTGCCTGGCCAGTTGCAGCTTTTAGCTGGCTAGCTGGAGATACATTGTTCAGCTGGCCTTAAACTATGATTCTCAGATTAGCCTCCTGAGTAGTTAGGATTATAGATGTCAGCCACTAGAGCCTAGCCAGTTGTGTTGCTGTTTGTTTTGGGTTTTTGTCTCATTTAACAGTCACCGAGTGACCTTGTCTGATGCTGTGTTTTATGAGATTGTTTTATCCAGCACAAGAACTCATCAGCCAGCTTTGAGAAACATACCTGTCCTGACAATTCAGAAGTTTAGGTCTCTGTGTCATGTCAATTCCTGGGTGTCCAGAGCTTCTTTCCTGTTTCATCTATAAGTGATCGCAGAAAAGAAAAAAATATGAGTCAGAGTAGTAGGATTTAAGTGATATAATAACCTTTGTCCCTAGTGAATATTGCTAAGTGCCTTAATCCTAGAGCAATCTCTAGTCTCTAGTAATAAGCTCAAGGGCTATGTTTTGTTTTGTTTGTTTATTTATCTTTATTTAATTTTGTTGGTTCTTCTGCTTGAACTCAGGTCCTGGGCACTGTCCCTGAGTTTTTTTTTTGCTCAAGGTTTGTGCTCTACCACTCTGAGCCACAGCTCCAACTTTGAGTTTTTTGTTAGTTAATTAGAGATAAGAGTTTCAAGGACTTTATTGCCAGGGCTGACTTCATACCATGATCCTCAGATCTCAACCTCCTGAGTAGCTAGGATTACAGGCGTGAGCCACCAGTGCCAGGCTTTTTTTTTTTTTTTAATTTTTTGTGTTGGTCCTGGGGCTTGAACCCAGGCCATGGATGCTGTCCCTCAGATTCTTTTATTCAAGGCTAACACTGTACTGTTGCCATAGTTCCACATCTGGCTTTTTTTATAATAATGTTTCCACACAGGAAAGTCCAGCCCCTGCCTACTGGCTTGAAACCATGATCCTCAAATCTCAGCCTTCTGAGTAGTTAGGATTACAGGAATGAGCCACAGGTGCCTGACTTCTATGTTTTATTATTAAAAAGGAGACTAAAAATACAAAAAGCCTATTTAAGGGCAAAGAGTGTATGTAGATCAGTAGTAGAATTTAGTATGTGGGAGAGGCTCTGGCACCAGCACTATAAAGCAAAATGAAACAAAAAACATTCATCAGGGGCTGGGAAGGTGGCTCAGTGGTAGAGTGCTTGCCTTGCATGCACGAGGCCCTGGGTTCGATTCCTCAGCACCACATAAGAAAAAAGCTGGAAGTGGCGCTGTGGCTCAAGTGGTAGAACGTTAGCCTTGAGCTGAAGAGCTGAGGGACAGCGCCCAGGCCCAGAGTTCAGGCCAAAAACCAAACAAACATTCATCAGTATATACAAGAAAGAAAAAGTAAGCCGGGCGCTGGTGGCTCACGCCTGTAATCCTAGCTACTCAGGAGGCTGAGATCTGAGGATCACGGTTCAAAGCCAGCCCAGGCAGGAGAGACTGTGAGACTCCTATCTCCAATAAACCACCAGAAAACCAGAAGTGGCGCTGTAGCTCAAGTGGTAGGGCGCTCGCCTTGAGCTGAAGAGCTGAAGGACAGCACCCAGGCCCAGAGTTCAAGTCCCATGACCGACAAAAAAAAAAAAAGAAAGAAAAAGTAGGGGCTGGGAAGATGGCTCAGTGGTAGAGTGCTTGCTTGCATGCATGAGGCCCTGGGTTCGACTCCTCAGCACCACATAAGCAGAAAATACCGGAAGTGGTGCTGTGGCTCCAGTGGTAGAGCACTAGCCTTGAGCTGAAGAGTTGAGGGACAGCGCCCAGGCCCAGAGTTCAGTACCCACGACAAAGAAAGGGGCTGGGAAGGTTGCTCAGTGGTAGAGAGAGCGCTTGCCTTGCATGCATAAGGCCCTGGGTTTGATTCCTCAGCACCACATAAGCAAAAAGAAAAGAGCCGGAAGTGGCTCAAGTGGTTCCAAGCCAGAAGTGGTGCTGTGGTTCAAGTGGTAGAGCACTAGCCTTGAGCTGAAGCTCTGAGGGACAGTGCCTAGGCCCAGAGTTCAGGCCCCACAACTTGACCCAAATAAAAAAAAGAAGGAAGGAAGAAAAATAGCCAGGTGCTGGTGGCTCACACTTGTAACCCTAGCTACTCAGGAGGCTGAGAGCTGAGGATTGAGGTTCAAAGCCAGCCCAGGCAGGAAAGTCTGTGAGACTCTTATCTCCAATTAATCACCAGAAAACGAAGTGGTGCTGTAGCTCAAGTGGTCAAGCGCTGAGCTGAAGAAAAAAAAAATCAAAGTGTCTGTTGTATGGAATGACTAAAATACTGGGCCTGTCTCCCCTTAAAATACCGTTTAGGGAGTCAGGCACCAGTGATTCACGCCTGTAATCTTAGCTACTGAGGAGGCTGCGATCTGAGGATTGCAGTTCAAAGCCAGCAGGGGCAGAAAAATCTGTGAGACTCTTATCTCCAATTAACCACCTGAAAACCAGAAGTGGTAAAGAGCTAGCTTTGAGCTGAAGAGCTTAGGAACAGCACCCAGGCTGAGTTCAAGCCCCATGACAGACCAAAAAAAAAAAAAGTACTGCTTAGGGATAAAACCTAGAACTTGTGGAGGTGAATGTGGAGATTAATGCAGTAAATTCATATAAGAGCCACCTGGAATCTCCAGTTGGCACACAAAATCAAAATTTGGGGCTGGAGTTGTAGCTTCGTGGCAGAGGACTTGCCTAACATGCTTCATCTGGGATCATTTCCCAGCACTGTTAAAAAATAAAACCTTGAACTCAGGGCCTGGGTGTGGTCCTTGGGTTTTGTTTTGGTTTTACTCAAGGCTAGCACTCCCTGTACCACTGAAGCCACAGTTCCACTCCCAGCTTTTGTGATAATTAATTGGAGTCACAGTCTCACACTTTCCTGCCTCGCCTAGCTTCAAACAATGATCCTCAGATTTTAGCCTCCTGAGTAGCTAGGATTACAGGTGTACAGTGCCTGGCTGTATCATGTACTCTAAATGTAAGTTTTAGATAGCTGTTGCTAAATCAGAGTTGTATGTGAAAAAATAACCCTGTAAGAAAAGGCTGAAGGGGGTCAGGCATTGGTAGTTCATGCCTATAATCCTAGCTCCTCAGGAGGCTGAAATCTGAGGATTATGATTTAAAGCCAGCCCAGACAGGAAAGTCCAAGAGACTCATATCTCCACTTAACCAGCACAAAAGTGGAGCTTAAGTGGTAAAGTTCTAGCTAGCCTGGAGCCGAAATGCTCAGGGACAGCATCTAGGCCCTAAGTTGGAGCA